GAGTGTGAGAGTGTGTGTGTGTGTGTGTGTGTGTGTGTGTGTGTCCACCGGCCCGGCTTTGGTCAAAAAAAGCGTTTTATCAAATGCAGTAAATACTTACAATATATTTTCTGTATATTTATTTGGATCATATGTAGTTATTGTATTGCTGAGAAAATAACAAGCTTTAAAATAGCAGAAATTGATTGCAGATCTACAGTACGTAATAATAATTTGGTCTTGTTTTTCTCCTCTAGTCTCCGCAAGAACCAGATTATGTGAACGTTGCGAAGACATGACTGTGAGTCTGGAGCAACTGTTTAATATCACTTGTTTAATATCTTCCATTGGCCATAAATCCAATTGTTACAGCACATAAAACTATTCCATAATTATTTAGAGATTATTCAAAGCTGTATTCATTTAACAAAATATCTTGGTGAATTATTAAAGGGATAGTTCATCCAAAAATGAAAATGTGATGTTTATCTGCTTACCTCCAGGGCATCCAAGATGTATGTGACTTTGTTTCTTCAGTAGAACACAAATGATGATTTTTAACTCCAGCCGTTGCAGTCTGTCAGTCGTATAATGCATGGCAATGGTAACAGAATCTATGAGAGTAAAAAAAACATGCACAGACAAATCCAAATTAAACCCTGCGGCTCGTGACGACACATTGATGTCCTAACACACGAAACGATCGGTTTGTGCCAGAAACCGAACAGTATTTATATCATTTTTTACCTCTAATACACCACTATGTCTAACTGTCTTTGTGCGCGCGCACGGCATCCGGTGCGTGAGGTGTGTACGCACTCTGGCGTAGTCTGCATTATACGACTGACAGACTGCAACGGTTGGACTTAAAAATCATAATTTGTGTTCTACTGAAGAAACAAAGTCACATACATCTTGGATGCCCCGGGGGTAAGCAGATAAACATCACATTTTCATTTTTGGATTAACTATCCCTTGAAGGAACTCACTGAACTTACATATCTAATTTCACCAAGGCTGCATTTATTTGATCAAAAATACAGTAAAACTTGTGAAATATTATTTCAATGTAAATCAGCTGTGTTCTGTGTGAATCTCTGTTAAACTGTAATGTATTTCTGTGATGTGCAGCTGTATTTTCAGCATCATTCCTCCAGTCTTCAGTGTCACATGATCTTCAGAAATCAGTATAATATGCTGATCTGCTGCTCGAGACACATTTCTGATTATTATCAATGTTGAACACAGTCGTGCTGCACAATATTTCTGTGGAAACTGTGATGCATTTTATTTTTCAGGATTCACAGATGAACATTTATTTGAAATAGAAATCTTTTGTAAAATTATAAATGCCTTTACTGACACTTTTGATCAATTTAATGCATCCTTGATGAATAAAAGTATTCATTTCTTAAAAATAATTAAATAAATCTCCAAACGTTTTGAGCAGTAGTGAACATCGTAAAGGAAAGCAAATCTGTCATATAGAAAGTATATGAAATGTATGAACAAGCTGCACTGATCTAGCGTATGATCGATTGCTGTAGTCAGGATGGAAATGATAACTGTATACAGATTATGTTTGATTTGTGTTTTGATTATTAGTGGCAGCATCAGAAATGGAGGAATGAATCCGGTGTGTGGTTCGGCAGCCGTTCACTGCATCTCAACTAAAGACCTCTGTTGAAGAGCCTATATGAAGCAGGCAGAGATGTTTTATTTATTTACCGTTTAATTCATTTTTATGTGTCCTATTTAGGGTTTTCAAAGCTACAGGGAACATCTCTGCAGTTTATTTCATTTATAACCCAAGGTCATGGGTTCGATTCCCAGGGAAGGCATGAACTGAAAAATGTCAGTGTGTACCTTGAATGCAGTGCAAGTCGTATTGAATAAAAGTGTTTGCCAACAGCATTCACCAGAGAACTCCATAAGACCAGCAAACCGTCTTCAGCTGTTTTTCAGAAGCTTATGATGAAGTCATGACCACTATGATAAATAATGAAGAGTTTCATTTCATTAACAGTCTGAGAGCGATGATTATTTAAGCGTGTTTCTCGGCCAGATCTCTCCTTCATCTGATGATTCTTCATAAAGCTCTGAATGATTTATAGTGTGACCAGTTTTTTAATGCAAAGCCATGTGAATAAAGGCTTTTTATTTTTTCACTACATTTTCAAGTGTCTTGGCTTATGAGTTTTTTAGATTGTCAGTACGTACATTCAGCAGGACTTTAAGACAATAGACAATACAAGTAATTATGAAATTACATATAAAGATGTGCTGTTATTATGCTAGGGTGTTACTAGAGTGTTGTAGGTGGTTGCTAGGGTGTTACTAGAGTGTTGTAGGTGGTTGCTAGGGCGTGGCTAGAGTACTGTAGGTGGTTGCTAGGGTGTTATTAGAGTGTTGTAGATGGTTGCTAGGGTTGTAGACCAGCTGAGAGTGAGCTGAACCTCTCTATAAATCATGAGTCTGATAGGGAGAGCTGATCCTGGATCAGTCTGACATGAGTCTGAATGAAACGTGCGTTGAGTTGTATGATGGAGAGGCCGTTCCAGCGGGTTTGGTGAGTGTGGGAATCGGGTCCAGGTGGCCCGCAGGGTTTGTGAGTGACAGCTGGCCATATTCCTCTGGGAGATCCCAGCACTCCTCATTATCTGCTCTCTGTTTAAACCCTCCTTGCGTTTGTGTCTCCTGAGCTCTGGCCACCTCGCTCTCTCTGTTCTCTGTTCAGAGGGCTGTAATGATGGAGGATGCACAGATGGTTCGGAGCGGGGCTCCGGATCTACCTGTGCGGACAGATGGTGACGTCCTATTAACACTTAAAGAGAGGTCTGCCACTGTCACCTGAGCACCGGGAGGGCCCTGGCAGCCTGCATCAAAACAGCAATCAGGAAATTGAGAGCGAGAGAAAATAATGTGTTAGCAGACACTGATCGGACTGCAGGAACCTCACCGACACGATCTGGACTTAAAGTCACCATGAAATGAAGTAACAACAGATCTTTTCGTCTATATTGTAATGTAGGGCGGGTTTGGTTCTGTGCATCAGTTGCTGGTTGGATGTTGAGTCCATGTAAAAATGTGATGTAAAAATTCAATACATGTAATTAATTAATTTATTTATTTTTGTCCGGACATCTGCTTGGAAGAAAGATATTTACACGTTTCGTGTGCTCCCGGCGCCTATTTATACTATAGTTGCACCGGTAGTGACGTCATGGCTGTCGCCGGCCAACGAGTTGGTGTTTTTTCGATGTATGCTTCAGACACGGGTCACGACGAGGCGTTCCCCATAGCGCCCCCTAGAGGACGCAGTTCGAAGTTCCCATGAAAGGGAAACTGTTTTGAACATGGTAATGGATTAAAACATAAGTAACAGGCTGGATGTACATTAACCTTACATCTTAACACCTCTTTAAAAAAAAAAGCAGATCATAGATCATATATTTTGTCTATAGTCTGAAACAGCTTTGTAAATAGGAAGATTTCAATACATGAGGATTCTGAATGGGATTTTTTTAGCGAGCCATTAAATGACTTGAGACTCGACTCGGACTCCAAGTTAAAGACTTGTGAACATCTCTGGTTTGGACTCTCACTCTGACGGCACCCATTCACTGCAGAGTTTGCTGAGACACTGATGCAATGCTACATTTCTCCAAACCTGATGAAGAAGCAAACTCATCTACATTGTGGTTGGCCTGAAGGTGAGGATATTTTCAGCACATTCTCATGTTTGGCTGAATTATTCCTTTAAAAGAAAAGCTGTATAGCACCCTGTTTCCTAAACAAGTCACACTATTTGTGATATTATTCACATCTGTTGCACAAACGGTGCTGAATGAGTTAAATGTAACAATGTAATACTTTTATCCTGAGCAAACAGTGGTACAAATAATTAAAGCTCTAAATCTACCCAGGGGCAGTGTGAATGTGTTCATCTCTCTCGTCTCAACACAACTCTCCTCCCTTCCAGACACGAATGCCCCGATGAGAGCGTGTTTTTGAAAGACTTGAATAACACTAATTAAGGATAAATGGTGTGTGACCCTCAGGAACCCGTGAGACGCGGGGGAGCTAGCAGACGGGCGAGACTCGTGGAGACGTGTGTGACCACAGCCCTGATTCATTTGCCCGTCTAGCTGGAGTCAAACTGTCCTCAGTGACACGTCTGCATGAAGAGCCACATCCTCAAGAAAGCAGACGTTCCTCTGCTGGGACCAGAAGAGACTAAATTCAAGAATTGAATCTTGAACATTCATCTGACCGTTGAGTCTGGTATGTTTGAGCAAGCGAGTGTGAGTGAAGTCATCCAGACGTTTCATCAGGACTCCTCATTAACCACCAGCCAAACATCCCATAATAAGCAGAAGAAACGCCATTGGAGACACTTATGAAACAGGAAGAATGTTTCAGCATCTGCTACGTGCTTTTCTTACACTACTAAATCAAGAAAGCGCCAGTGCTGTCTGCTGTGATGAAACAACAATCATTTATCTTAAAAGAAGTTCAGTTATTCAGATTTAACCAGCCACTTTATACAGTTTAAATCAGCACATGCATGTTTTAGAAATAAAACAGCCTGTAAATTCAGATCACGGGTGAGTAAAATTGAGATTTTCATCTCATAAAGACTTTCACTTTCTAAGTGATTGCACTTAAAATTTTATATGAAAGCTTGTTTTCACCACAACATAAGCAAATAAATAAATAATAACGTAATGGCTCTCACAATTCTGAGAAAAAAGTCATAATTACAATTTTTATTCTGTGGTTAAAAAAAAATAGAATTTCTACCTGTAGATGCTAAAATGTGTGCAAATATCCCGTAGAATTACACTGAAAGATCCAAGTCACATACAGAAACCAGAATATCAGAGATTTCAGGATGTTTGACAGTGTGCAAACACTTAGCAACCACCCATAAGAGCCTAGCAACCACAGATACATTGTGGCAGTGAGTTTTACAAGCACCACTCACACTTTCTTTTCAGATTTTGAGGTTGTATGTCAATGAAAATCCAATCTTTTTGATCTCTGCATCTCTGTAGATTAAAAAGGCTGTTTTGACAGAGGCAAGAGGCAATGTACGAATTATGCATTTGATTTTACAGCTTTAAAGTCTCTCATACTATAATGTAACACATTGTACCTCTTTTATTTGCCCAATTAGCACAAAAATGGCATTATATTCTTTTGAACATGAACTTTGTTGAAGAATTACTCTGTGGACTAAAATATTCCCTTAAGTGGAGATATTTTTTGTTTGCCCTACTTATGGTTAACCCCATTACTGCTTAATAGTGTAGACAGGTTTTTTTAGACGAACACTGTTGCAGCGTGAATTAATGAGTGTTTCTGAGTTTTGGGCTCTAAATGAGGTGTGCGCCAGACGGGCCATTTCTAACACGTCTCAAGGTTAAACACCACACCCATCCTTTGCCAAAACCAGGTCAGGTTAATAAATACTCGATGCAAATCCCTTCTTGTGCTCAACAACTACGTTTATAAATAATCTACTTGTGTAATTGTCCATTGCTACGAGCAACGCCTTAAAAATATGCATATTTTAACACTGCAGCAAGTTTTTGTTGACTATAAAAATCCTTAAATAACTGTTTTTTAATGGGGAAAAAAAGAAAGTGTTCTTTTCCGAATTATGTTTGCATTATGTGCCACTAGAGTGTTAGGTCTTGAATTGAAGTATACTTTATTATTTCCAGTAAACTTTGCAGTGCAATAAACTCAAACAATAAGGCAGACGTAACAGAAAAAACGATACGAAAGTTCATACTCCTAACACAAACAACATCATATAATTTAATTGCTATTTTTTACAGAAAGGCCGATGTGGGGGAAAACGCAGTTTTGCCATTTGCAAAAAACAATAAAAGGCACCTTATTAAACATGACCACTTCCTGCAGCAGTCTTTGAATCAGTGATGTTACTGTTAACTTTAATAAAATACAGACATAAATATTAGATGGAAAACTTAAACTTAAAAACCTAAACTTGAATATTGCTTTGGCAACTGACTGAAACAAATACATATAAAATGACTAAAAACTGAAATAAGCTATACAAAATAATGAAAGAAAAACTGATAAAAAGACAAAGGCAAAACTTAAATGAAAATGGAAAATATAAACATATGAATATAGTAGGCCTATTTAAATAGTACTAAAATAATCCTGCTTTGAATGAGTTATTTTTGGAACCTACTGTATATTTAGTTACAGTTGAAGTGTGATCAGACGGGTCTGTAACAGCTGATACGACACATTCAGCACCATACACCTTCTGTGACGGAGGAATCGGGGCCCTCATTAAGTGTGCTGAAGGGGGAAGGGCCCCTGAATCGGCCCTCATCAATCTCTGGCTTTGGGGGGATGGAGGTTCGACGAGGTCAGATGTGTTGTCCTCTTGGATGAATATATGCATGAGGGACGGCAGAGGAGACACAAAGACGATCTGCTGTGTGTGTATATACAGTATATATATATAATTGGAGAATATTTAAAATACCTGCTTTGGGTGAAAAGTGTGTGAAGATTGTGAAGTTGCTCTACAGTCACTTACTGCTCAAAACGATGATGGTTCTGGATGCTCATGTTATCAGACTAAGCTGGATTTCATTCAGTGTTGCTCATTCATATAAAAATCCTTGTAAATGTTATTTTTATTTATATAAAATATTGCATTGGATCGATCTATAATCCCGAATGTGTGCTTACAGTCTTGATTCACAATCATTGTTGTTTCAACTCTTTGCTAATTTAGATTAATTATGATTTATTAAATTATGAACGAATTTATGATTTTACTGTAATAACCTAATTTGAATGACCTTGTTATTATATTCATATAGCATGCGTTTACATGGTATGAAGCAAACTACCATGCTTCTCCTCAGCAAAGTACCTCAGAGCCCTGGTAAATGTGTAATTACTATAGTATTACCAGCTGAAGCCATGGTTAACTGTGGAGCTAGTACCATTCATAAAAATAACCTGAAGCCATAAAACATAGACTATGCACCTTGTTACTGAATGATTACCAGACCACGTCAGAAGCCACCCAGTATTATACCGTGTTGTATGCTGCCTGACAGCTTGCTTTAAAGCCCATGCACACGAAGACATCATTTGATTGTAAAACTAAAAAATATAAAGAATAGCCTATAATTAATTTATATAATTTTACTTTTGTTATATATAGTAGCCACAGTGTCATGTTAGCCATGCCATGTTTATTTGTGTCTGACAGCATTGTAAAAGATCTCTTCGTAAACAGATCATTGGTATTTACTTCATACCCAGGCTACATATCTCAGGAGTTCTGCAGTCGCTCCGGTCAGACTCGGGCATGGTTTTGATATTGTTTGGTGCGTGCAGAAGAGCAGAGAGAAGCAGTCAGACAGAAGAGGACAGGAATGTGTCCAGACTGAACGCGAGCTGGGCGGGGGTCGGTGTCTCTGCGCGCAGCCAATGATCGCGCTGCGCTTTCTCTCCGCGCTGCGTCCGCCTCTCTCACTCTCACGAACCGCTGGAGGCTCGCAGAAGAAGCGCGAGCGCGGGGAGGATGAGGATGATGATGGGGAGGAGGAGGATGATGATGATGATGATGGATGCAGTACCGTGCCGTCTGGTGTTTTTCGCGCTGCTCTTTGGAGTCAGGATCCAGCACACTGAAGGTACGAACAGCGGCGCTGCGTTCTGCGCTCCGCCCGTCAGTGCCGTTCGTCCGGGGGCCGTCGGAGGGCTGCTCTTTGTTTGCATGCAACTGCAGCCCCAAAGAGAGTCTTTCTACAAAGATGGCGCAGGTCAGAGAGAGAGAGAGAGACACAGAGAGACAGACAGAGGGAAAGAAAGAAAGAGAGAGAGAGAGAGAGAGAGGGGCTCCGTTATTCCTTCACGAAAGAGAAGAAAAGCGGAGAAACTCCTTCATATCACACCTGATTGCGTTTGATACCGGAACGGACCGAATGCGTTCACGTGTGTGTGTGTGTGTGTGTGTGTGTGTGTGTGTGTGTGAGAGAGAGACGGAAAGAGAGAGAGAGTGTGTGTGTGTGTTTAATGCTGGAGATGTTTACAGTCTGATTGTAGGTGATTGTGTTTGTGGTTATCAGTGTTTATGATCATCTCGTCTGGCAGGACAGTGACACACACATACACATACACACACACACACACACAGACAAACTGTAACACACACACTCACACACACACACACACACTCACACACACACACACACACACACTCTCTCTCTCTCTCTCACACACACACACACACACTCTCTCTCGCTCTCTCTCTCTCTCTCTCACACACACACACACACACTCTCTCTCGCTCTCTCTCTCTCTCTCTCACACACACACACACACACTCTCTCTCGCTCTCTCTCTCTCTCTCTCACACACACACACACACACTCTCTCTCGCTCTCTCTCTCTCTCTCTCACACACACACACACACACTCTCTCTCGCTCTCTCTCTCTCTCTCTCACACACACACACACACACTCTCTCTCGCTCTCTCTCTCTCTCTCTCACACACACACACACACACTCTCTCTCGCTCTCTCTCTCTCTCTCTCACACACACACACACACACTCTCTCTCGCTCTCTCTCTCTCTCTCTCACACACACACACACACACTCTCTCTCGCTCTCTCTCTCTCTCTCTCACACACACACACACACACTCTCTCTCGCTCTCTCTCTCTCTCTCTCACACACACACACACACACTCTCTCTCGCTCTCTCTCTCTCTCTCTCACACACACACACACACACTCTCTCTCGCTCTCTCTCTCTCTCTCTCACACACACACACACACACTCTCTCTCGCTCTCTCTCTCTCTCTCTCACACACACACACACACACTCTCTCTCGCTCTCTCTCTCTCTCTCTCACACACACACACACACACTCTCTCTCGCTCTCTCTCTCTCTCTCTCACACACACACACACTCTCTCTCTCTCTCTCACACACACACACACTCATCCTGCCTCGAGGCATTGTATTTTCAGTCAAAACGGCTCATAACTCATTTCATAAACCGATGATATCGATGAAGTGAATCGGTTTGTTTTTACCAATACTCTGACTTTATTTTGCTCTCGCCTGTTAATCGTCACAGCTCATAAATAGCTTTGTATTTACTGTTTACCAGATCAAAAGTTGTTTTACTTATTTGGTTTCACTTATTTAAATTAATAATATTAAACTATAATGCTTTTAAAGTTATAAATAGTGGGAATGTTTCTCAGAATGTAACTTTAATGCATTTTCTTTGGCGTTTGGTATATTTTAAAAGCATGTTTCGTCACCTCGTTTGACTTTTGTATTAGCTTTAGCTGTTTGGCTAACTTGTTCTCACTGTAGTTTTCAAAGCGAATTAAAATGCTAAAACTCAGTAAAGCTGGTTAACTGCTGGCGACTGTCTGATGTGTGTCCATTTGTGTTTCTATAGCCTATAAACATGTTTTTAGGAGGAGGGATTTAGGAGATAACTGACTGTTTAAACACGTTCATTGCTGGAGACCTCCATCAGTCGGGGTAGTGATTATAATAACAGTAATGTAAACACAGGGTGATGTCAGATGTTTGTGTAGATAGTCTGAAGAATGTCTCGAATCCTCCTGAGCTGGCTAACTAGACAGCATGAGTGGGTGTCACACGGAGACAGTTTTCTTCGTCTATTAACCGGAGTATTTGTAAATGTTCCTGTGATGTCCTGTCGGTTTGTTCTACCTCTTAATCAGTTTTGTCACAAGCACTTTTGAGGTGGACATGACTGCAGACTTCAGTCACACTAGGTTGCATAATTCTGCTTTGTCTGAAGGCACAGTTATTGTCACTGGCATTCGTGTCACCTTCAGTAAATCAGGGAGTGTTGCTTTATTGGCAGTATATGAATCATGCTTAAAGTCAACATGAAATGGTGTTTGCAGTCCATTTTGTGTTTAGTAGATGCATATTAACAAATAAATCATGTCAGCTCTTGTTTCATGTTCACTACAAATGCATGAATTGTAAAAACTCAATCTGCATTTATGGCATAATGTTGATTACCACAAAAATAACTGACTTGTTCCTCACGGTGTTAAAAAGAGCAACAACCGAGGAGGTTAAGGCCCATCCACACCAAGAACGTTAACTAAAGATAACCATAAGTAAGTGGTGTGTTTGAGTTCTTTGCATCTGACATGTCATCTCTAGAGCGGGCATCTGATGCATGCTCACTACAATAATGTTGTCTTTGGGACGGGAATCTGAAGCATTTCTGTGACCCCACACCGCCTGTTGTCCCGGCTTAAAGAACCAGAACTAATTTGAGAAGTTGCATTAGTGCCAGCAGTGAGTGAATGCAGGGGTAGCGATGCGTTCAGACGGCCTTGCTTTTGGCAGAAGCAGTATTTTGCAGCGATGGTGGCTTTTAAAAGTTTAGCTGGCTCAGGGAAACAAATAAAACGCTCCGAGGCTTCGGTACATCTACAGCTTTTTATGTTAGACTTGACTTGCGGCTCTTAAAGTGACAAAGTAATAGCGTTTTCAGGCTTCCATTTTTAAAGTAATAGACTACGGGTTATGGGTGATGATTTAGTTTTCAGCAGCGACTTTATGTCTGTCTCTGGGAGTTGAATTCTGCATTATTCACAGTTAATAACAGGCACATTTGCATCTTCTGAAGAGCTCATCTCAAACTGATATCAGTGCGAGAGGCTGTTTTATTAAAGCGCTGCACTACTGACACCGTTATGAAAAAGCGTAAGAGCTGCTTCAGTGTGATCCATTTGTTGTCTGTATTTACTGAAGTGATTTGGGTTAAGTGCCCTCCTCGGGTTCCCGTGTTTGAGCATCTCAAATCATTACCTCAAGAGTCGGCTCTGACTTTCAAAACACGCTTCCTTTGGGACGAAACGGAGGCCTTGTCGAGCTCTTCCCCGCAGACCGCAGCGCTCTCAGCTTCCCGTGTTCGATCGGAGGAATCCCGTATCACTTCACAGCGTGTTATTACGCAGACGTTCAGACGGGGGTTTGTGGTTTGGATGCAATAGGAGATAGTGGCATGATTAATGGCCTCTGTCAAAGCACATAAATCAAGCGTTTGTGCACCTTGCACTGTCAACATATCAACATAATGTGTAGAAAAATGCATGCATACACAACACTTTCAGCGTTAATTCACCCAAAAATGAACATTTAGACATTCTCATGTCATTGCAAACCTGTTGAACTTCTGGAAATGCTGAAATTAGGCAAAGATGCTGCCTTTCAAAAGTTTAGGTTTTTTAAGAAATTAATACTTTTATTCATCAAGGCACATTAAATCGATCAATAAAGTAAAGTAAAGTAAAGACTTTTATAATTTTACGAAAGATCTCTATTTCTTCTGAACTTTCTGTTCATCTGTGAATCCTGAAGAATAAAATGCATCACAGTTTCCACAGAAATATTGTGCAGCACGACTGTGTTCAACATTGATAATAATCAGAAATGTTTCTCGAGCAGCAGATCAGCATATTATACTGATTTCTGAAGATCATGTGACACTGAAGACTGGAGGAATGATGCTGAAAATACAGCTGCGCATCACAGAAATACATTACAGTTTAACAGAGATTCACATAGAACACAGCTGTTTCACACTGAGCAGAAGAGACTTCATTCAGTAGAAACTTATAAACAAAGTGTATTGGAACACATGCTGTTGTTCTTCAGAAATGACCATCGTAGAAGTGGTTCATATGACTCGTGCTCTATATTCTAATGTAAGAAATATTCAAATATAACTCATGCAGTGGCTTTATGTCAGGAAACGACCAAAATTAAAGTAATTATTCCACTGAAAAGCTTCCCATTTCACAGCAGCTCACAAATCTTATCCATATTCATACTTCACACGATTGGTCAAGAGATACGCCACAACCAATCGAATTTGGAGTCACTGATGTCAAAACTGGTAAATAACGACTTTAAATATTGTTATTTTGGCCAATGCTGATAAGCTGTTATTATTTTCATGTTATTGCTGATAACCAATAAATGGTTATATTTAATGATACGGTGTTATCTAAATAAAATGAAAACAGTAAAAACTAAAATCAGTTTGTCACCACATAATGTACAGCATGAAAAATGGATATTCATTTTGTAATTTGCTAAAGATTACACACTGATTTTAAATATTGACACTTTCAGAATCAGTCTTGAGTAAATGATGACTGAATTCTCTTTTTCAGAAAAAAAAAAGATTTTTTTTCTCCAGAATCCGATGTCTTCTTCCTCTTCGGAGGCTTTTGTGCGCTGGAATCCAGTCCTTTAGTTTGATATTGCACTCATTAGTTTTACTGGCTGATCTGAAAGGGAGCTTTGCCGGTTTTACAGCACGCTCCACCTTCCTCCTGCGGCTCGTTTCCCCGAATGGAGACGGTGCCTGTCCAGTCGGCAGGTTTATGATCCCCGTGTGCCCCCGAGGAGCCTGGAGCGCCGGGTATTTATAAAGAACAGCCCGTCATGTGCTCTGACACACTAGCAATTAGCAGAGCCTCGGGCTGAGAGAAAATCTGCCAGAAAAGTTGGTGTTCAAGCATCGCCTTTGACGGTTTACTGGCCGTTCTCTCTGAAGGCTTATTAGCTCGTCAGCTTCAGTCAGGTTTTGGAGTGTCCTAGAAAAGCCGTCTCCGGCTCTACTTACGCCCACAGACTGCGCCGCTCCTCGACAGGCCTCGGGAAACAGAGAAAGCGTGGAGCTGTGTGCACATCTCTCAGACGTTCCTCTGTGATCGCCAGCCGCTCACAACTGGGT